GTAGATTCTGTTTGGTTCGCAGTAAATGAAATTGGAATTCTTGTAAAATGACAAAGCTGTCATTTTTGTCTGCTTTACTTAATTTTACTTTATTTTCTAACTTATATATAAAGATACATTATATAAATTTTAAAAAACAGTAAAATCTCAGCTGTGGCGGAAGCGATGGCGGTACCGGCGATGGTAGTAGTGGTGGGTGATAGTAGTGGTGATGGTGGCGATGGAGGTGGTGGTGGTAGTGGCGGCGGCGGCGGTGGTGGCAGGTGATGATGGTGGCGATAACTGTTGGTGGCGGGTGGTGGTGGTGTTAGCGGTGTTGACTGGTGGCGGCGACGAATGTGGTGGTGGCGGTGGTGGTTGTAGCAGTAATGGTGACGGTAGTGGTGGTAGGTGGTGGTGGCAGTAGCGGTTGGTGCTTGGTAACAATAATGATGGGTGTTGATTTTCTAATAAGTAAATTGAATATTTTTGCAATCTGTTATTTTCTTGATGAGTAGGAATGTTTTCCATCCAAATATAGAAGAAATCCAATTTCCTTCGTATGGTGGAAAATTTATTTGATTTAGGAATCATTTTCTCTTTTCTAAGTCCAACCAAACATATGAATTCGAAAGAATTAGAATATTTTATCTCGAATTTTATTTATTTCCTTCAAACCAAAGACCCTTATATTTTGTTATTTTATTTTTGGTTTATTAACATATTATGAAGTTTACGGTTTTTCTTATCCTAATTGACATTTAAAAATAATAATTGAATAGAAAAATATACAGGTGTCCAAATGAATATGACCGAGATAATAATAATAATAATAATAAAATATCATAACCATTTTTGTAGCTTTTATAAAACAAAAATCCACTTAACCTTTTCGTGAGCGACAAGATTCTTGGGTACTTGATCCATCCAACAAATCTTTGCAAATGATTTGGTGATGCATATTATCTCTTCTCAAAATCACATAATGTTTTTAGTAGAATTATGTTATATAATAATTAATTCTTTGTTGGATTGAATGAGAATTAATCCAAACCGTGGCTTTTGATCCAAGTGGTGAGGGAATCGAAATAAAAGGGTGTCTACTGTCTAGATTTGAGGAATTGAAGATACCGAAAGGCATACGATGCCGATGCTTAGAAAAGCAACTCCTTTGCATGCTTGATGCCTCATCCTGTTCAAGACACACATGCCCTTCCAAACTACTCTCTTTTGTCCTCCTAACCTAAAAAACCTAAATCTTTTTCCCTCAATTTCCAAAATAATAAATAAAAAACTATTATCTATCAAAAATATAAATTAGTTGGTAGGTGTAAGTTCTTGAAATATATAAAATTACTTAAAACATAAAAATTAAAATTAAAGTTCTTAAAATTAGCTATTTCAAGTAACTCTTGAATTAAAAGTTAAAAAAAAAAATAAAAAAAAAAATAAAAAGTTTTAAACTAATACTTCCAAACAAATCTGTTTCTTTAATTTGAGTATTTACATAAAAAGTTTAAAGTTAAAAGCTCGTTAAAAGTTTCAAAAGTTAGTTGTCAAACTTAGTTTTGATCAAACTCGACTAGAACTCAAATCAAACTTAGCTCTACTGAATGTAGTTCTCACATTCTTTAATTCATTATTTGGTTTTCAAACCATCATATCGACAAAGAAAAATCAAATATTTTTTCTATCTTTTGACAAAGAGGAATCAATTATTTTTCTATCATTTGTTTCTATCTATTTTCATATTCCGTAGATTTAGACAAACATCAAAATCAAGAGATGAGATTAACAGAAGGATTAATTGATTTCATGTGTAATTATTTTATATGAATAGAAAAATGGATATGAACAAAAGGTAAATATTTAATTTTTGCTTGATCAAATAAGTTGGTAGTTATGAGAAAAAAAAATGAACGGTTGTAAGTCAATTTTGTTTATAATTATCGATAAGTCTACTAGGCTGATGCTTGAAAAAGTTTGATTCAACATAAGTTGATGTATGTTTGCGTTTTATCAAATAAGAAACTGAAATTTTGATTAAATCTATATTTGCTTTACACTTAAATCGAAATTATAAGTTTAAAACTAAATTCAAGAAAAAAAAAGAGAGGTTTTGTTGTGAATTGTTTAAAGATTGTTGCTTTTAAGGCACGTGCTTAACTATGCAAAACATAATTTTGTCTTTATTGATCTGTTTATGAATAATAATAACATCATCATAATACGTGCTTTATAGAGGGCCGAATGATAAATTCATAATAACACACTTTTCTTTTTTTATCTAAACAATAACAATTAAGATTACGACCTTAAAAGAAAAATCAACTGCATTATTTCAAATATTAAATATATATATATATATATATATATATATATATATAGATATATATATATATATATATATATATTAAAAAAAATAAGCTTATCGATATAATAAAATTAAATAAATAAATAGCATTTTGAAACAGTAAAAAGTATGACTAGTTAAACACATTTAACTTTACAATGACTTGATTTTTGTAAAGCATGAATAATTTTCTCAGTTTTATATATTTGTTTAAAATTTTATTAGACGTTCTTATATTTATTATTAAAAAATAAACAGTTGAGTTAACGAGATTTCTAGGATACTATTTTATATATCACAAAAAAAAAAAAAAATCTATACATAAAACCTTCTACCTTTTAAAATCTAATCTTGTGAATCAAAAGTTAGGAATGATGACAAAAAAGGTTCATTTAACCACAAAAAAAAATCCCCATATGGACCGCCTTTGCCTTTTTGTTAATTTATGGTAGCACCACTTATCTAGTGTGGTGGTCATCACCCATTCTACACCACCTCACCACCATATATTCTTAACACCACAACCTTGAAGATGTAATATAACTTCTATATCGTCATAATTTTTGTTGGAGTCTAAAAATCTAATATAATGTTCGTTACATTACCAAGTACAAACACATAGAAATCCAAAAACTTCTTGACAAATTGCCATTTAATGGGGTGAATCATTCAGTCATAGGTGAATATGTGTTAATGTGTTTTGTCGAAAAAAAATCACTTGGTTTCACACAAAAAGCTCTAAAACGGGTCGAATAAAAGGCAAAATATTTTCCGAAAATCCTATTCACTTAATGCATCCGGTTCATCTATTATCATATCCTTCATATCATTGATTTTTCTGTTTTAGTTGTTGATTTTGTTCATTTGTGGATAGCCTCTCTTAAATAAAATACATATGGTTTCCTATTTCTTCAACTGTTCATATTGTAATTTTTCATTGATTTTTTATTGCTCTATTTGGATAGTTAGTAAACCACCAAAAAATGTCATGTTGGGAAATCTATTTAAAGAAGTGAACCATTAGATTTTAGACATACTTTTTCCAATATAGACATTGCAACATACTCTCCATAATGATCTACTTTTTTTTTTTTCCTATGACACCATATTGTCTGCAAGAGCTTGGATTAGATAGTTGAATCCTCAAATTAGACATCATATTCCATTGAACGAATAGAGACCAAGTTATATAAAAGACACCACATTTTACAGGCCTCTATCTGTTTATCAAATAGAGTAAGAGTTATAATCCGTTTGATTTGTTCATCTTTAGCATAAATTTATTGAATCTTAGGGTTCTAAATGTTCATGGATGACAAATGTTTCTTGATTTTTATCAATAAAAAGTTTCAACCCGAGGTCCCATTGACATTCATGCATGCACTTGATAGGGACAGTAAAGGGCATCTTCAAAGCTTGGTAAAGTAGCATAAGCATGAGTGGGAAATGGGAATCACAAGAACACAAAAGAGTGAAAGACACTACTGAAAAAGTAAACCACATACTCCTTTTTCACCTTTTTCAGAATATATTCCGATTTAATAATCAATATATGCTCTTGCTCACAGGATCAACTACATACATTTAAAAACATTACTTAAATCTTTCCTCCGTTTTAAAATAATTATAAGTAATATTCAATATATTTTCAAAATTTACCTCTTCTGATCTATCACTCCCTCTGTTTGACTTGTCTTTTCTAGTTTCTATCACTATTATTCTTTTTGTCGATAATGATATAGTGTTTAAATTAAAACAGATATCAAGCTAAAAAGAAATTATATAAATGTTTCATTAATGGTATGTATGACATAAAAATATTGGTTGAGACTAGGCCGAAGGTTATCCATATAAGTCATCACTCAAAATTGATTAATTTATTCATAAATTAGTTATATTTAATTATTTATCTTGTTCTAACATCTAAGGGGCGTTTGGTTCGCATAATGTTTTTGAAAGGAATGTAATCTTTCAAAAGAATTGAAATCTGAATGTAGTAGAAGCTACAATGCATTTGGTTGATATGGAATATAATTTGTTTTTTGTTTGGTTTGCTGATTTTAGAAAGGAATTAGAAAATAAATTTTATAATATGGCAAAAAACAAACATTAAAAAGAGAGGACACAAAAAAAATCACGTAGGCAAAAAAAAAAAGAGAGACAAAAATCACTTTTTTTGTATGTTTATCTCATAATAGATAGTAAGAAGATAATTGTGAACTTTAAAATAAAGATAAAGAATTGAATTTATATTCTTAATGCAGGGTGGAAGAATTAGAATTCTCTCAAATGGGGAATTAAATGGTAATTATGAAAACTTAATTCCATTTTTTTAAACCCAAACGTGCTCTCCAGCAGATTTTAATTTTCAATTCTTACTAATTCCTTAAAAATTATAATTCCTTAAGAATTATGCGAAATAAATCGTACCCTAAATATCAAAGTTAAAACCATACACTAAGTTCTAAAATAAAAACTATTTAGCCCATTGAGATTCTATTTGGGCTCAAAAACAACATAATGGGCCAAATTTTAGCCCTAATCGGAGGTGAAACGAAACCTGTTCATGTTGTCAGTTGCCAGTTGCCAGGTAAAAGATTCAGAAAAAGAATCGAGGCAGAAAGGATTAAGGTTGAATAGTTGAGAGAAAAAAAGTTAAACGACAACAATGGGGAAAGATCTTAGCGACGATCAAGTTTCTTCTATGAAAGAAGCGTTCACGCTTTTTGACACCGACGGCGACGGAAAGATTGCTCCATCGGAGCTCGGAATCCTTATGCGTTCTCTCGGCGGAAACCCTACCCAAGCTCAACTAAAGAGTATAATCGCTGAAGAAAAACTCACTTCTCCCTTCGATTTCAAACGTTTCCTTGAGTTAATGTCAAAGCATCTCAAGCCTGAACCCTTCGATCGGCAGCTCCGTGATGCGTTCAAGGTCATCGACAAGGACGGGACTGGATATGTTGTTGTTGCCGATCTCAAGCACATATTAACGAGCATTGGGGAAAAGCTTGAACCCGCGGAGTTTGATGAGTGGATCCGAGAGGTTGATGTCGGATCTGACGGGAAGATCAAGTATGAGGACTTCATTGCGAGGATGGTTGCTAAATGATTTGTAAGTTTTTCCTTCTCTTCCTTTGCAGTTTCCCGCCGTGAATCCGGTTTGTAAATGCTACTATAATCTCGTTCTTTTCCCCAATTTTGTTCTAATTAAGATGAAGCTCCTTTATTGTGTATACATAATATATCTAGCTGCGTAATTGGGAATGCCGGAAAAGGCTAGTAGATTACAGTAGCACTGAATCACATATACAAGTATTAGTAAAGTTGCATAATCTGCACACAAAGTAATTACATACCAATTCACAAAATCTCTTAGTACAGTTAGATGTTTGCTCATTTGATATTTCACTTCCCTTTTAACGATCATAAAAGAAAGCTGTATGCACATAGAGAGTTTTCAGAAAGATGTAGTTTTACATAACTACTTAGAACCTACTAATGCGTAATTAAGAAATCACAATTGCAATGTTAATGAAAAGTTCGTTTACTATGGTGAGCTTCTTCATGTAGAGAAATTGAGATGATGTAATAATCAATTTGTTGTGCAGGTTGTTGTGATGTGAGTGGAGGTGAACTGATTGATTTTTCTGATATTAAGAAGCAGTGTTTTTGGTGTGTGGTAATTTTCTATCTTTTTTATTTTTTTCTTCTTCTTCTTCTTTATGAATTTGGTGTTTGCTAGTTTTCATAAACTGTTTGGACAACTAATCATGAAAAGAGGGTATTGCCATTTGCCAATGCCACTTGAATGCTTGTGAATAGGTTTAACTGATGTTACAACACTTTGTCACTCTTGTTTTTTCATGTATAAGATGCACTTCTACTCTTTTGACCAACTTCCATTACGTAAGAGGAATATACATTCATATCCTCCATTGCTACTACCACTTCATCTTGATTATGAATTATGATATGAACGCACTAAATAGAACAAGTAAGACACTTCAACTCAAAACGAAGAAACACATATTTCAATTCAATCAATAATACCCAAAATGATTAAGAATAAAGTATAGTTTGGCAAATTCGAGAAGCCACTCTCCAAAAGGAATAATCATCTAAAACAAAACAAGATACCTCTACTCTCCACCACTCCCCTATCAAATAAATAAATAAATAGAAACTCAATGACCTTCCATTCAAAGATGTTGAACATTATGTCGATTTCCCCATAATACCCCCAATTAAATAGGTGGCAGGAGTGGATGCGTAACAAATACAATTAGTAGCACACTTAATTCTTTTCTTTTATATTTAATTATTTATGCCCTGGTGGAAACTGCGTGTAACATATGTAGCTGAGACCTTGCGATCTCTTCTATTGTAACTCTTGATCTGATACTTTATCATTGTTCATCAGAGACTCAAGAGTTCTCAACAAAGTTGGATTATTTGCTTTCGTTTTAATTGAAGTAATCTCTAATACTTCTATTTGTTCTTCATTGCTTAAATGATTTAAAGTAAAAATACAAGTATACATTCAGCGGATCTTTGCCTTGGAAGATAGGAATCTCAAAGAATTTGACCTTTGATTGCATAGAATTGAGCTCCATAGATTCATATACTTCCATCAAGATCAAAGCTTCCATCGAATGTTTTTATACCAATTGTTATGAATCAAATGGTTGGATTGAATCTATATAATCATTATTTCGTCCACGAGGATGACCATTGTTTCGTATCATGTGTATTATTAGTGTAATTAGTTGTCTTATTTTATTTCTCAAAAAAAAAATGTAGTTATTGAAAGAAGTCTTTCATTCACCTATAAAATCAGACTCTAATTATTTGTAAGACACCAGAATATTGAATTATAAGTTATAACGTATACATTTATCACTATATGGAGATTAATAAAATACGTAAAGCTAATAAAAAATGTTCAACTAAAAGTAAACGCGAAATAACATTGTAAAAATTATACTAAAACAGTATATTATACAATGAAATAAAACCTAATATGAAAACCAATAAAACAATTAAAATAAAATATAAAAATATCTGGAAAGGTCTTGGACCGTGGAGGCGTGGAAGGGTCAAGAACTGGGCTTTACTGTGGGCCAAACTTGATCCATTCCTACACGAGTTATATGGCCATGGCCCATGGATAAAGATTATATTGTTAATCAAACAGTTTGTTTTTATGCAAATGCCAAAAAAAAAGTAATAAATAAATAATAAATAAAAAATCCATTTATATTCTTATAAACTTTCATAAATATGTTTATATCCTTCTAAAACGTCAAATTACACGTGTATTTTCGACTTTAGTGGTTTTACTAACAATGACCACCCCTCCATAGAGCCCAATATACATTGATGAGTGCCATTTTTAGTAAAATTGTCCAGGATATGGTATTGCCACTTTGACATAACTGTTAAATAGAAAACAGTTTTTGAGTGTTTACAAACATCTCATGCTCATGATGTTCTTCTGGTGATCCCAATAGATGGTTTATGCCACTATGTCATCAGTGAATTGTCGTACTATCCTTAAGTATAACTACACAATTCTATTATTTCAGTTGATGAGATATGTCCAATTTGTCACAATGCATGTCTGGACATTTTTGGGAGGGTGCAGTACATTGTAGAGTACTCTCGGGTTTCAAGTACCGACCTGATATGGTTAATATTCTTTTTGATGTATTTAGATGTGTCGGGATTTCGTTAAGATAGACACGCCTATGAAATTGTTGATTGGCCCGTTGGAAGGTATGTCAACGTGTTCTTGGACATGTCGTATATGAAATACCACTAGAACCTTAAATTCATTATGTCGATCAAAAAACTTATAAGTATGTTTGATGATGATGAATGTGAATGTTATTTTTGGATGTTAGTAAAAATGATGGTACAAATGTTGGTAAAAATGCTAGTACAAAAGTTGATGAAAATGATTTTACATGTTACCGAGAAGTACTTCCGTTTATAATTTTGAAAAAAAAAAATCATATGAAATTAGATGATCGAAGGATACGTATACATACATTAAAACACCATTTCATTAAATAGCTTCATTTCGAATATATATTATCTTTTAGTTAAGTCCTAAAAAAACTGTGATTTATTTATATCCTCGAACAAGTGCTTTTCAATTATAACAACTTTTAAAATAACCACAACAAAATATTATGGGTAAATAGTACAAAAGACACTGCGTTTACATCAAAATTTTAATTTGACACCGTGTTATTTTTTGTCTCAAATTTGACATTGTGTGTTTAAATTTGTTACAATTCTGACCACTTGACCGGTCAACCCAATTACTTGTTGATGTGGCATGATGATGTGTCAGTTTTGATAACGTGACATGCTAACGTGTTAAAATTGATATTTTTTTTCCATAAAACACACTCATTTTTTATTTTTTTTCGATTTTGACACTAAGTTTATTTATTTTTTTAATTTTGACACTCTATTTTTTTGTTCTAAATTGAACATTATTTTTTTCAATTTTGTTCAATGTTGATCATTTTCCATTTGAAATCGTATAAATATTTTTTTATTACATTTTAAACCATATAAATACATTTTCTTTCATTTAAAAACCATATTTTTATACAAATACAAAGTTTTTTATTTTATTATTATTATTTTTTATTTTTTACATTCAAAGCAAATGTTATGTATAAAAATTTTTAGTATATCATCAGAACCAAACTAACCATAAACTTCGAATAAGAATAACAAAATTTTATCAATTATCACTTATGAAATATTATTTATTTTATTTTTTGTTGTAGATTTTATACATATTTTTATTTACGATTAAAAAATTATATTAGGTATATATGAATGTGACATCTAACGTTCATTTGAAGCATTGAAGAAGATGTGAGAAATATAGAACAAAATACCAAAATTTAATGTGAATACTAAAATAGATGTAATAATGATCATATTTATCCTTCATAAATATTTTTGAAAAATTTGAGCTGAAAAATATGATTTAATGGGAGTCACACCATGAGATTCAAGATGTTCCAAATAGTATTATGAATATTATATTAGATGTAAAAATTTCACGGGTTGCAAACTTGACATCTGGGTCTTGATCGACTACACGTCTCTAAACCTCCAAACTCATGTTAAACTTGTGTATTTAATATAAAATACATTTTTTTAATAAAATACGTTTTTTATATAACTAATATATATTTATACATAACATTATGGTTTGAATGTAAAAAAAAAACTTGTATTTATATAAAAATATGATTTTTAAATGAAAAAATGTATTTATACGGTTAAAAATATATTAAAAAAATATTTATAAGGTTTCAAATGGAAAATGATCAACATTTAACAAAATTGGAAAAAATGATTTTCGATTTGGAACAAAAAAATAGAGTATCAAAATTGAAAAAAAAAACACTAAGCCTAATGTCAAATCGAAAAAAAAAATGAAAACTTAATGTCTTTTGTGGAAAAAAAATTCAATTTTGATGCGTCAGCATGTCATGTCATCAAAGCTGACACGTCATCATGCAGCGTCAGCAAGTAACTGGATTGACCGTTGAAGTGGTCAGAATTGTAACAAATTGGAAAACACGATGTCAAAATTGAGACAAAAAATAACACAGTGTCAAATTAGAATTTTTGTGTAAACTTAATGTCTTTTTGTGCTATTTACCAAATATTATCTCTTATAAATTATAATCCATTTTAATAGAGTTGTTTATTTAATATTACACAATTAACTTTTTATTGTAGATTTAAACAACTATTATGTATAAACAAAACAATATAGTCATCCTCAAAAGAATGTAAATAAAGTTACTGTGATATAACAAGTATCATCATTGAGAGTTACTTTGATATAACAAGAATCATCATTGAAATTTTGTTGCAATAAATGTGAATTATCCCCCATTATTCATGCCCATAAACATCAAAATCATCATGAGTCGATATTATTGAGATTTAGCTTTTTTTTGAAGTCCTTTTACCCTTCATGTATGATGATCTTTTTCTCTTTGGGGCCACCACAAAGGGAAAATAAACAAACTTCGCCAAAAACATGGCCCCGTATTTCCCTTAATGTTCTATTTTATCTAAAGTATTGTGTCTAAAAATATTATAGATATGTATTCAGTTTTAATTTATGGGGTATGTACTTTTTCAGATTTATTGTATTTGGCTTTACTACAATTAAAACAATAGTTTTTTGAAAAGGAAAAAAAAAAACACTTCCAATAATATGTAACAAATATAATCATATGGTGCATTTGGACGTCCCTTCTACTCTGTGAAATGTGAATATGAGGCATTTACATTATATTATATTCAGAGGTTAACTATGTTTCAACCGATGAACTCATTTGTGGATTATTATATCCTAAACCTTAGAGCAAAAATACAAAACCAAAATTAACTATATTGAATTAACTGTGGTAGTGCATATGTGAAAATGTCATATTAATCACAGTTTTGGATTGAAAATATGACTTTTCTTTTGTGTTTTTATGTATGATAATCTAAAATCCAAAGTCAAAACTTATTTTTACACCAAATTAGGTGATTATCTCTTCAAACTCAAAATTACTTCCTACATGGGTGAAATTCCAATGTTTATGCATACTAAGTTTATTTGGTTATTAAATAAAATTTTAACTAAAGGTACAATGAGATCCCTCCCTACAAAAGGTTGAATCTACAAATGTCTTCTAAGATATATGTATGTGGAACTAACAGTAAATTAGGAGTAGACTACAATATGGGGGTGTTTGGCTTATCTTTTGAGATGTCAAAAGTCATTTTTTGAAAAGTTGCAAAAAGTAAGGTTTTCCTGACTTTTCTAATTTTTCAAAAAGTCATTTTTCCTTATATCTA